ATGCTGAAACATATCATGCTTACCGGCTTTCCCTTGAATAGTTAATTGAATAGGGCCCGAACTGTGGTAGATTGAGATCAAAATATTTTGTACAGCTGGTAATGTCTACTGCATCTGCGATGTCTTGCTGCAAAAGCTGAAATGTTTCTTCGCCATCATCTGCTTGCAGATACCTGCATAGGAAATTTTTTTAACAAGCAAATCCTGCATAATAATAACTTAAAACTTACCCAACATCTTCGGGAAGCAGCAATTCTGCACGGGCCGCTTGAAGAACAGACTTCCTCACTTTCTTGACATCAGCCTGAATTTTTTTGCGCTGAACATGTGTTTTGATTCCTTTCTACAGGACAGAAAAAGGAAGCCCCATCAAATGTAAATACACAAGCTCTTATACCTTCATGTGCGCTTGTGTGTAGAGACAAAGAAAACCCCTATTAAATGTAAATACTTGAGCTCTTATAGCTCCACGTGAATGACTTTTCTGCTGGCCTTAGCTGCCAAGAGAAGGTCAAGTAGTAGATGCTTTGTGTCGGGGTCGTGCTTACCCCATCTGTGACCACCCTTTGGATGCAACATTACCGCTGCTGTGGTGCATTGTGCCCATTTTGTGACGCCCCAATCAACGCTGTGATTGCCACACACTTGTGGGCGTGCACAGGCCTGCAACTAAGCAGCCTTCGCCCCCTCTGTGCAACGAGCCTCAAGCCGGGCCGACCACCAAGCTTTTACTGCGGGATCTATTGATCCAAGGACCTTGCCACCAATCTTGCACGAGGGCAGGACCCCTGAGATAGCGCAGCGCCTAAACCGCAGTGCGACCACCTTTGTGGTTACCACGTAGGCACTCAACCACCTTACACTGCAGCGTCATACACACAGCCTTTTGTCGCCGCTTGCCGTTTCGACAGAACCGATGAAATGCGCCACCAAAGACCCCAGAGATGGCAGCGGATGTCGTTAGCGCCCCAGGCACACAACGTCGCTTCCAACCCTCCTATACACAAAGCCAATTTGCACAAGCACTTTTGACACCAACAATTACAATGCCTAAGGGCAGGCTTCTGAAAAAAAAAATTATCTACCGAAATCATAAAGCCAGTTCAGTGACAAGATAACATTAAAATGCCAACTTACAAGTGTCAGATGGGTCGAACGCTTGTACTTTGCAGCTGTATTCTCATCAGCAGGTGATGTGGCATCAGTCTTAGATTTTTCAGCTGTATATTTCACCATTTTAAGGTTTTTTCCGTGTTTAGACACGGTTCGTTTTCTGATGTCATCTGCATTCGCCAAAGGATGACTTGTTTTTTCAGCTGGATCTACTTGTACTGTGAAGTAGCGACTCATCTGCAATACACACATGCGACTAAGAACATTGATGATGGCGAGAATGAGCAGTTACAAAATCTACGAAACCACACACACACACGCACACTAAGTTGCGGCCTTCGTCGGACAGTCACTCCGACGAAAGCCGGTACCACGGACCGACCTTTGATTTTGCCGTTTTTTAGAACACCAAACACGAAAATGTGTAAGCGGAAAAAAGTTGTCTCAAGTACAAGTGAAATGCTCAAGTGTTTCTTTTAAAGGGTCCGTAAATCACCTTTCTGCACTTGTGTTGCTCATCGCCTGCCTGAAGCAATTCTCTACGACAGCTAGCACAAGTTAGCACAAATGCATCTAACCTCAAGCAGACCTACTCATCTAGTACATTGGAAAATGACGCGCGATTAAGCACGTAGACTTCGGTATATCTTACATTTTCGGTTGCTTCTGAACACTAAGCAGCAGGGTCTGTAGCCATTCGCGATTCTGTCGGACGAAACACGTGCACAGACTACTATGCACTGCTCGCTGCCACACCAACACCTCCTAGAAAATCTATGCCTATAACGTCGCTCTCTTTTCAATTGGAAGCCTACTGCCAGCATGCAATCTCGAAGGCCATGCCTCCTACCTTGTGTTTCGACCGGCCGCCGCGCGAGACCGCTCGTCTCCGTACCGCTCAGTCAAGTGACATTATTATACAGTTTTGTCACGTGACATGACGGCTGCTCGGAGGCACCTATGAGAACCTTCCTCCGTGTGTGAGAATATTGCTGTGTTCGCAGGGGCAACGCCTCCTCTAAACAATGCCTGGGGAATGGCTCGCGCTCCCAGCGGAGTTGGCCTGCCTTCAGTTTTGCGCAAGCGCCGTGCGGTGGCGCTCGCGACCAAGACTATTATTATGGCAGCGGGCGGTACCAGCTACCAGCTAAGCGTTTTTCATCTGCGGCCCATAGGGGCGCGTCAGTCGAGAGTTGTTTGAGACCTGCAATTGTACACTGCTGTTTCGGAGGCTATGCAAAGTGTTGCGTTGTTGCACCGTCCGCCACAGGTGACGCTAGCGACCGAGAACATTCTAAAATAAAGGAGAGAAAGGATGTGGCAGCCGTTTTTCTTCTCATGCGGCAGGCATCTTCTAGAAGAGGCGTTGGCAGGAGACGGCCATCAGAGACGCTCGCCATTGTACTGAAGGAGGAGGGTAAAATCAGAGGGTTGGGCAGCGCGTTCGCGGCTCATGTTTCAGGCCACGGAGGAAGTTTCAGGCATAATTTTTTTTAGGAGGCGTTGACCCACCTTTTTCCTTCCTCCGTGCGTTGACCACACACAAAAATTACAGAAATAAAATGAAACCAGTGTTACCAGATGGCATAAACCTCAAACAACCAAATTTAAACCCAAAGTAACCCAAAAATAGCCCGAATTATTTTTTTTTTGTGATTGTCTTGCACTTATAAAATTACTTATTCTCAAAAATTGTTGCCTATTGGTTGTTTTTTGGTCAGCAAAGAAGGGTGCTTACCACCCAAATGGCACCTTTTTTTATTCCATTGTGTGTGTGTGTGTTTTGCTGCCTGATGAGTATCAGTTCTATTGCGTAATATATTTTGTTTCCGTCATTCGAAATGACAATGTGGTTACTGTAAGACACAGAAAATGTTTGTTACTTGACAAACACAAAAAATTCCGCGAAAAGCGGAGGAAAGATGAATACTGTGGGACTTGCAGAACACTTATAGCGTTGTTTGGATGTGTCTCTTGTTCAGTGAAGTTTCAGGCCATGAACTTGGGGAGGCAATTTTACTTTGCAAGATATGCATTATATCACACTGTCCGAAGGGGATGGAGAGAGGCAGTCTATGTGTACAAAATAACGGTGGAGCTGTTTATCCGGTACACTCAGGTAGGTGTTCCGTGATACACTTATTTACAGTACGTGCACCTATGCAGCCTTATTACACTTTTACGAATTAATGGACCTGTTCCAAATAAGCATCTAGTGTAGGGCAACTATATAGTGAAACAGCAAACTATATGAAGTTCAGCATAGAAAAAGAATCGGTTCCGGAGATAGAAAACATGTCTTTCAAATCTAGCTTCTTTTCCCATTCCTTCTTGTAGTTTCGAGTGCCCTCTGCCCATTCTGCAGTTCCTCTCGCCGTGCTTGCCATGGAAGTTAGTTGAGGTGTTGCGGACACCAGACGGTACCCCAGGCCCACGAGTACGCGTCCTGTCTGGGAGCGTGACTGCAGAGCAGCTTGAGTAGTTTAATTATTTGATGGCTCACTGAGACTGCTCTACAGCACTGGGCTGTGATAGTAAAACACACTGCCACCTCTCGCTAAGCACAAAATGGTGCACCCAATTCTAATGGTGAAACAGCACCGGACGAGCATCTTTCAAAGGAAAATCAAGCACAGATAAGCAAAACAGCAATCCTCCACCCCTCCACACAAGGTGAAGGTGATTCCTCCCCGCACTTGCGCAGTCGGATCTGCTGTTTCGAAGATGCTTTGAGGTGCTGATGTAGTTCCTCGAAATTATAAAAGGGAATACCGCACTTAAAGGCAACGTTTCTAGTCTAGAAACGTTGCTTAAAGGCAAGCGGTTTTTTGAGTCTTGTTGTCGCCTTTAAAGGCGACAACAAGACTCATACATAATTATGTATACAACTACGATCCCTAGAATATATACTATCTACGTCACAGTAGTTGGCTAAGAAAGACGAGAAATATCAGGAAATAATATTGCGCTCTTTTTTGTACTTTTTATATATAGTTCTCGTGACGTCGAGATGCTCTCGATTCGTTGATACACGCGAAATATCGCATGCGATTTGTCTCCTGCCCTGCTTTGCCATGAAACCGCCCATCCATTCTTCTATGTCTCGCACAACAAACTTAATTTTTTGTGTTTATAACTGAGCAAGCGGCGATAATAGCGTGCAGCCTAGGAACGCGAAATCCTGATTGGCGCTAGCGCTTATTGTGCTGGTATTATTCACTTGCATTCAAGAACTAAGGGGCGAGGAGGCATCATGTGTATGAAGGAGAGGAGAAAATCAAACGCCGGGTGGTGAGTGGCCTGATAGCCAGATGTGTTGCGATGTCAGTCGCCGAAAAGAGACACGCCCCCCCCCCCCCCCTTTTTTTTTTGGCTGTTGTGGAACAGTACGTTCGAGTTTCCTTTCGGGCACAAGTTAGCCCAATAAACCATCTTTTGTTTTAGTGCCATCATAATCTGCTTTTTCCACCTGTCTGTACGCCAGCCAGCCGTCACATCCGTGACATGGTGGTTTTGGGACGCTAAACCCCACATATCAATCAACGCCCACCAATAGATGCTATGCCTTGTGCACGCCTTGTGCTATGCTCTTCTGGCTTAATCGAACACATATTCAATTAAAATTCAAATGAATACGCCCGACACTACAGCGGATGGAACTCTTCTGTATTAGCCGTAGTTTCATGTAGTCTGGGTGAGTGCTGTTTATTTCAGAGGGAGGTCAACAGTTTGTTTTCTGTCAAGCGAATGATAAAACGACCGTTCTGGTACACTCTACCAGAAACGGCAGCCGTTTGCTCCTTCAAAAACAGATGGCGCGCTTCATACATGCACTTTGTTTTAATTATTTTAAATGTCACGTGACTGTTTCTGCTGCTCGCGTTAAAATGGCTGCTGTTGGTGGGGGTTTGTGTTGGCTAAAGATGCGAACGAGATGGAAAATATTGTGGCTAATACCTGCCGTTTTTCTCGCACTGCTGGTTCAAAATGGTAAGTTCGGCTGCTTATATTTAGTTTCATGAGTTGTAGTCAACATTGTCGCGTTCGAAAAGTACTTTTCAAGGCTCAAATTTTCGCGTTTGAGCTTCGTTGTTTGTTTTGTTAGCGCATAACTTGCACAACTGCTGTTCGATTCTCACTGAAGTTATGTATTTGCTGTCGCATAACTCAGATCCCGCTGTGTAGACGTATCTGCATATGGCGGGATGTTTTCTTCTGGACTTTGGTACATTTACTTGACGCTGCAAACATCAGCTGCGGTAGCTTCAGTAGAAACTGAAACGTTTGCTTGTGTTTTGTAAGTTGCATGAGTCAAAGCGTAGGAATCTTGGGGCCTTGAGGGATTTAGGGAGGTTCTTTCAGTGTAGCGATGTTGCGAAAATGTTATTTATGAACGTCTGCGAATGTCGGTAACGTGATTTTGGCAGTGCTACAGAGGTCTTAAATTGCATTAATAGGGTGTGGGGCACAAGGAATGTGACTGAGCGTTCGTGAGCTTTCGCTGGGACGGCTTTAATCGCGTTCGAAACGCGGCAAGTTCACCCAGATACGTCCGTGGCATGTCTTGCTTTACAGCTGCATGGCTTCAGTATGTGAGGCATATCGCGAAAGTGCGTGTGCACAAGGCGCGCTGAGCCGCTCCCTAGAGTCAGCGTCACTTGACAAATGCCGGCCACGAGAGATTCGCCAAGGACACAGCCCGCGTAACGCGGACGCTTCACATGTGAATCGTCAGTTGAACTCGCAACATGACGCCTAAGCATCACCAGCGTGCCCCGAAACGGCCGCAGCTGACGCGGCAATTGATGCCTCGTCGAAACACGATAAAGAATTCGTGCTTTCCCAGGCTTTCGATGTACTGTTAACGGGTGACTCAAATTTAAAAACTTTGGAACCCAGGCGGAAGTTGATAAAGCGCGCTAATATAATCAGAATAGCCAAGTAACCCACCTGACAGCTGAAGCATTAATCCCCATCGTAGTGCTACAATCAACCAGTCTCGCCATGAATTATTTCATGGACTTCAATTCTGAAGAAGCACTGGTGGATAGCAAAAGAACATATACAGTTTTTGAACATCATCAAGTGCTTTTTCTTTAGTGCTGGATGATTTTAAACCCTACTTAGAACTGGTGTAGGCTCACCAGCCAAGTGTGCTCATTACTTCACAATGCAATTGTTTGTTCTGTGAACTCGGAGCTCTTACTTGGTTTCGGACCATAACCAGTGTTCACTGGAGCACCAAAAGACCTATTTCTAATTATCTGGTGTTTCAGGGAACACATAGATCAGCCCCTGAAATCAGCCTGGCAAATGCATCCTATAGGGGATATGCATTTGACATAATTTGTGAGGAGGGCTAGCGGCGGGGGTCACCTTTTTGGAGGCCCATGCACTTGCTGCACGTGCAAAAAACTTGCTGCACACGCTGTGTCTCAAGATCTGTACGGCAATTTGGATGACCACAGGCCTCTGAAACCCCTTGTGAACACCAACACGCAGACAGCAGGATAGCGCATACAAAGTGTCTTTCAAAATGGCACTGTAATGGTGTTGCCGCCTTGTGGATCAAGGCTCAGTGGATACCACCTATTGACTGATTAAGCGTAGGCGACTTTATCATGATGGTATAGCCTGGTTGCCAATATATTCTGGTGTATGCTGTAGGCCCTTTTGGTTCAAAGTGTACCTATAATAGGGAGAAAGAGCAAAGAGTCATTTATATTGTCATAACAAATTTTGTTTATTTCATCATACTCTGTGTGCAGCGAGCATTTCTATAGTTAAAAGCTAGGCAGGTGTATGTTGCACAGGGCTAGATTTTGTTGATGGGAACCATAGAGCTTTGCTAAAAATATTCATATCCACAAGCGAATTCTTCGTAGTCAAGTTTTGAACAAGAAAGCTAGCTGATGGTGGAACTACTGTGCGTTATGCTGTGAGGCTGTGCTACTATTTTTGCATTTGGATCGAGCTTTTTGGTTTAGTTGCCTGTATTTTTAAAACACATGTCGTAGTGAAGCAGAAAGTGATGGTGAAATGGTGTTTATTAACGTCTGGTACCAGGCAGACAGCGGGTACAGTGAGAAACACTCAAACGCCTCAGCATCCACAACTTGCGCTTCGCACAAAGAGCTGGTCCGTTTGGTGGCTGCCATGCTCCTTCACCACTACACACATGCCTTTTTTTATCATTTTTTTTGCTTGGCATATGTTTCCACTTGGCAAGAATACGTGGAATTTTTTCCCTGTGTCAATGCCTTTTTCTTTTAATACTTCACTACAGTGTTGCTTTGGCTAGTTTCGGTATTGTTCTTCAGATGTTTCCTGTTTGATGTACTTGCAAAACTGATGGCTTCTTTTTTTAGAATTTTCGAAAAGATGAAGAATTAGTTACTTTTCCATTTATTGCTCCCCTGTATGTACTGTTTCTGTGCTGGCGCTGACTGACACAAACGATGCTGTAGTGGTTGCGTTTCCTGTTTCTGGAGCTCAAAAACAAAAAACGCTTCCATTTTTTTGGTGATAAGAGGAAGGATTATTATAAGTTTCATACTTGTTTTCACCATTTGAACGTGCTCACAACAACACAGTTTTAGTCCATGCACTCAACCGCGCTCTGTGCTTTCTCTATAAAAGTGCAGGCTTTGTTTCAAGTAATAATGCCAATATCGAAAGTGCTGGCAGAGTTGTTGGGACTGGTATCTATCTGTGGGCCTCTTCCCATAATAGTGATGACCCCATAATTCTATCGTTACTGCGAAAAAATTGTTGCTTTTCATTTGTCTCGGGAAGATAGGTTTTGCAAGTTTGAAAAGTACTCCGGCACGCATCACAGCATAACAAACTTTGCACAATGAAATGCTCTTTCCAAAAAATATATGTTGTAGAGCAACAAAAATATTTTAAAATGAATAAAAGTGTGAAAAGTGTGCAATGTTTGGTTGCCAGATGATAAACAGTGCAATACAAAACACTATATATGTAAAAGTATTCAAGACAAAGAAAATTCGGAATAGCAATTTTATAGATAAATGACCCAGAAACAGTGTAAAAAATAATGAATGTTGTACAAAATGTTCCTCTTTACATAGACAAAGAAAACCAGAACTGATGTGCTGCTTCATTGCTCGTGCTATACGGTGAAACATTGCATAGTTTTTCGTGAGACACAAGTGTACTCATACTTTTTTCTCAGTAAACTTTTGTTGTCTTGTGATAAGAGTCTCCAGGTGTTCCAGTATAGATGAATACCCGTGATATGCATCATCTCTCTATAAATGAGATGTCCAATGAACTTTGCTATTTCATCTAGCGTCACTTCTTTCCATGAGCCACCTCACTTCGAATTGGTTGGCGTTCTCATATATGCATCTAAGCATATTTTTTTTTTGCTTTTGCACATATCGTATTAAAAAAAGGATAATATCGCGTGCAGTTCTAAAAGGTTTCGCACTGCTCTGTAGTCAGGCATAAGATGTGCTCCGGGAGCATTCTTGTAGTTGAGATAAGCTCTACAGCCAGTGCCAGCACATCGTGTTCCAGTGAAGTGTGGACGATGCACATAACCAAAGTAGCTATAACATTGTGCACAAAGGTCAGCAGCCACGTTCTTGTGCCGGAGGAGACAACTTGAGGATGCATACGAAAGAAACCCATGAATGGCTGCGGATGTCTCAGGCTGACGCAAAACATCATCGCCATAAAACTTGAAGTGCTGTTATCTTCAAATTCTAAGCTCATCCTCACTCAATTCAGGTGGGGTAACAAGAGAGTTTTGACGAGTGCATGAGTTTCGCAGCGCTGGTGCGCACCCATGCGCACGTGACGACAGCGTCATAGAAGTGACTAGTGACCTTATATGCGACCCTGTGTCTGGTATAACAATGCAAGCAAAACTAAAGTTGCTGAAAACTGTCATAGAGGGCCACTTCGACACTTAAAACACGCAGCGGACCTTCACAAATATTTTTTGTAAAACAAGTTTTCTCTGACTCCTAGGAACAGCTCTCTATTGAATATTTGGCTTATTATTATGGTAATTATTACTGTTTGACATTGTCAAATTGCAAAGCTGACACTTTAATGCGGTATTCGGCTTATAAAGGTTCTTTTCGTTACAGAACTTCGATGTTACTGTATTATAATCACAAGGGGCACGCACTTCTGTCACGTTTGCCAGCCTAGTGCACTTTTAGAACAATACATGCATATTAGTTCGTGCAAAGGTCTGTCAAAAATCACTATGTTGCCAAAACGGCCAAATTCAAATTGATTTTGAATGTTGAGTGCCTGAACTAACATCTAGAAAGTGCTGGGTGCACAAGAAACAAATTTAACATGGCAAAATCGACGATCCAAAAACATATACCATTGTTAATCGATTTGAATAGGCATGGTAACAAAAGAGTTAAACACTATTGATAATGAACTGTACTTATGGTGACAATAGTAAATCAAAGTCAAGTAATCTGTTGCAATTTACTGAATCAGTGTTGATATGATGAATAAATGGAAACAATTTTTTTGTTGAAAGAAGTAAGAAATTTTCTTGGTGAATGTGTACAAGGCTAACATAATACAAAAATGTTATCTCAGTTTGCATCTTCAGTGGTAGGAACTGTGAGGCACATGACTTTTGATTCTTTAGGGTTGAATTTTTTTGGGAAAAAACTTTCCAAGATAGTCAAATTACATTAATGCAGTTTTTTCATGTTCGAAATGGCTGAAGTCTACGCTTGTGCGAATACTCGAATGAAAAATGCAGTATACGAATTTACTTTGAATCAAATTTAAATTTTAAAAATTTCATATTATTTTAAAGGAACGAATAGAGGCATATTACTCTTTGTAAAAGGTGGATTCACTGCAGTGGAGGCATGCTAAGCCGGGAAAGCATCTATCCAGGCGTATATAATTTCGCATGTATCCTCTTGCAAAAGTGATTTCACTGCAGTGGTAAAAGTGGTTTCACGCATAAAACGGGCCTCCATTGTTTTCTCGGAGTAACGAGTTGTGCTCGCAAGCAAACGGCACTTTGTCTGCGTGTTGCTGCCTTGGGCAGACTCAGCTTGATAATCAAGGAAAACGAGAATACCTGAGTGAGTGTTGCGAATGAACAAGGTAAAAGCTGTGCTAGTAAGGACAGAAATCAGCTTCTGTGGCCCCTGCAAGGGAGTGCCGATAAAGGTACAAATCAAGTTTCACATGCCTCCGTTGTGATCACTCGGTGAAACCAAAACCTCCAAATGACATTGCCGCACAATGTGCGACCTGCTGGCACTTGAAATGAGTTCTGTGTATTTTCACAGGAAGGTAGCACAATCCTTTTCGATGCTTCTTGTAACTCCTGGGAGGTGACAGCACCTTCTAGTGAGCATGCATCGTCATTAAGGTGCGAAATTTTAAGGGAAGGGTGCGAGACATACAACAAAGACCTTGCCGGACAGAAAATCGCCAGTGTACATGTGCGACAAAAACCATCACAGTTAGTTTTTGCCCCTTATGACCTGTCGAAATAATGGAATAGTTGGTGCTAATATAGAAATGAACTGCCGTTCAGTCTGATGACAAAAGGGCCAGGAGTTGGAAAATATAATCTCAACCACTTCATTGTACTTACACCCGGAACATTTTTTTTTCTTTGTGGATATTGGAACTGCGAATATGTCTGCTCTGTAGCAGGTCTCCATTAGAATGTTTGACTACTGGACTGCTGGCGGGAATAGTTGATGAATAGTGTAGGTAAGGCACTCATTTTGTCTGCTTCTGTCTCTTGTGTTTTTTTCTTGAACATAGGAGACGGGTAGGGTGCAGATGATGAAATTTTTGATCACCTGTATTTTTTGCTCCATGTGCAAATGGTGGTGTCTTGGGCATCAAGGAGGAAGGAAATATTTTGTAATTCTAGTGAGCACACAACTACTAGCATGCAGCAAGTGTACACCACATAATACGTACAGCATGTTGTCTGATAATTACAATAAAAGTTTGTGGCCCTTTTGTATGAATGATGTAGCCTCAAAAACCACAGTATGATGCATTTGGTGCATGTTATGTATGGCACGTCACACGCCGAAAATGCAAGTTCATGTGTGTGCTGAGTTGAAACAATAAGTAAAAACCAACAGAGTGACAACCGTTGAGAGCTTCTCATGTAAATACCATGCATTAGTGATCACCAATGATTTGATTGATTTGTGGGGTTTAACGTCCCAAAACCACCGTATGATTATGACAGACGCCATAGTGGAGGGCTCCGGAAATTTCGACCATCTGGGGTTCTTTAACGTGCACCCAAATCTGAGTACACGGGCCTACAACATTTCTGCCTCCATCGGAAATGCAGCCACCACAGCCGGGATTTGATCCTGCGACCTGCAAATCAGCAGCCGAGTACCTTATCCACTAGACCACCGTGGCGGGGCTTAGTGATCACCAATGAAGTGTACATACGTACTCATGAAAGGTGACACCCGGTACTTTCCGCAGTGAATGTAATTTGAACCAAGGACGTGCACTGCTAGGCATTGCTTAGCTTTCCCAAAGGACATACAGTAGGATCAGCATGTGTGAATAGACTGCGTTGCTTGCACAATAAGAAAAAAAAAAGGGGGGGGGGGAACAGACTGCAGAAGTTTTCTTACTCGCTTTATGTGTGCATGCGCTTGCAAACGACACGACAAAATTGCAAAATATTTAGGTACCCCTTTGCTAGAAGGCGATGCAGGTGTTTGCGATGTCGAGGCTTCGCGAATGTGACATAAGGGCCTCTCCTTAGTATTTCTTCCTCCATGGGGGCAATGATGTGTTGCTGGCGTATGCTATTCAACCTGGAATTCTCTGTATGCAACAGCGAAGGCTTTGTGATTGGTGACTGTTACCAAAACAAATAATCCCTGGGATGTTAGTATGGACACCACCAAGGATATCATCAAAGGGATACTTTCTTCAAGGGTTGAATAGAAATTCAGAGCTAGCATTTTATGCCATTTTACAATACCCCACACTGGTCTCTCCGTTATATATAATTGAATACTTTAGTAGGTTACAACATAACAATAACTATAAGCTCCACCCACAGAACCACGCTGTGTTTGTCTGTCACCTTTGCAAAATAATTGTACCAGCTGGTTTTCATTCAAAGTGCAAGTACTTTGTCTTTGCTTACGTAAATGCTAGACACATTCAAAATGAAAGCTTGAAATTGACGTTACTGTTATGGATAAAATGTGCCGAAACGTTCGTTTGCTATTGAAAGCAAATAACACAAACAAGTATATTTAAGATAAAATCAACACAAAAAACTCTTTGACATGATGAAAATTAGCCAACACAGTTGGATGTAGCATCTCTGAAAATTGTTCATGAGAGAAATAGTGATATGCTTACATTTTTTCTTAAATTGTAAGAGGCTATAGAGATGAAATTAACTGTTAAAGTGCTTAGTACTAGAATGTGTTGTTAGTGTCTCATTTCATTCTCCATATTTGCTTTAATACCTCAATTACTAGAGCATTGTTCTTCGTAACATTGACACTCTAAACATTTTCAAATACTAGGTAACCTCATTGTAGCCTAAACTCGTTTTTACTTATAGTGTTTTTTATTTTTAAATTATGACATCTGATTGAAAGTATTTTGTGTGTTTAAAGCCGGTTGGTCCTTGTTATGAATTTGCACTGTCTCATAAGCTTTGTATAGCAAAAAGATGCATCACTCACACCAGTTCATTAGGAGTGAAAGCCAGCTACTCTCACATCTAATTTTAACGAAGTTGTATCTGACATGAAAATAAGTTTGTTACAACCAAAAATTCGATATATAGGTATATTCCTAACACTATATCTATTGCAAGGATATTCTTTGCTTACTTTGTTATAAGCGATAATTTGTTCTATCTGAGTTCAATGTAATGAGGTTTAAGTGTATATATTTTGTAGAAGAAAGACACTAATTGTGTGCCAATAGTGCCGCTGTGTGCATTTTTTCTGGGTGTCGATTGCAGCATGACAGTTTTGCCATTATGCACAAATTTGTCAAAAGCACATAGATGCTTTCCTGAGCTTCAGTGTTTTGGGACTCTCTTAGAAATGTGCATGTTTTAATTGCAGGAAAAGCATTAGACTGTTATTGTCTTGGGACCTGCCCTGATGGATCCTATAATGGTACATGCACTGCACCACCAGACAGCGACTGCTTCAGTGCTGTTGAAGAAGTCTACAATTCAGAGACGTCACAGTTTGAACCTGAACGAAGTTATGGCTGCTTGCCTGCTGAAGAAAGCAGCATATTGTGGGTGTGTAGCTTTACTCTGACTGGTTTTTCTGCTTCTTTACGTTTACCGTAACAGGCGAGTGTTTTTGTCTTTATTTTTAGACAGTGCCTCAGTTTACTTTGGCTGCAACAAAAATGTGTGAGCCCCAAAGAAGCGACAAATGGGGGGGGGGGGGAGGCTACATGAATAGCACTGAAGGAAGTCTATTAGCATGTAAATATTTTGGCTTTGTTGTGTGGTTGTAGAAAATAAAAATGAAATTGGATAACCTTTTAAATTGATTTTTGTACTAATAGCATGTATTTTAAGCAGGTAATTTTTGTGTTATATGTAGTTCAGTGAATGGACAATACTAAAGCATAACTTCCTATATATTATCATCAACTGTTTCCTTTCAGTGGACATTATTTTTACTCATCACTGTATAGTTCCACTGTTGCATCGTAACTAAGACAAAAGAGCATGGTAAAGCTAGAAGTTTTATATGCTCACACACAAACTCTGATTCATTTTTTACATTAGTATAAATTTTCCTTATTATACAGTTGTCAAGTAGTCGTAGTGGCGTGTCCACAAGAGGGCATCTTGCCCTGATCTTCAAAGCTTTTACAGATCAATCGATGTTCCTTCTTCCTTTCAGTGCAAGGCTCACCTTGTCCCACATAAGGTGCCGAAATCAATTGCTTGCTGCAGGACTGGTGACCTTTGCAATAAGTACCTGAAGCCTGTGTACCATATAAGGACTGACGATGGTTAGTACTTCTTGCATTCTCTTTGTGCTGTTCTGGTAGGGTCATAATGTGCCAACGGCAGCAAAATTTTTTATGTTTGTCGACAAAGTAACTGTCACGTATTTCGTATGAGAAAAAATCACTTTTCTGAACGCGAAGATGGTATTGCAACATAGTATAAGCGGGCTGCCATGCGAGTGCTGCGTCCTGGTTTGGCAGTAATTTTTTACTTTGAATTTCAAACACCTTGTTTTCATTCGTGCTTGTTAGCTTCTCTAAATGCCTGGCTTTTAAATCTGGAAGTATTCCAGCTTTTTACACATAGAAGTTGCTTGGTATTTTAATCTGCCCTGTCAAGAGTTTTGTATAGCGTCGAACATTGCTTTCATTTCACAGAGTACGGGCCTGCTGTATATCTGTACAAGGACATGTATCTTCAGATCGTCATTTTCATTGCCGTCCTGGGTGTTGTAGTGTGCCTAGTCTTGAGTGGCTACATATTCTACACAAGGTGAGATGTGCATTTGTATGATAATAGCATGCTCTTTTCTATTTGCTTTATTAGTAGGGCTCTGAAGTACTTTTCATTCAACACTCTAAGGAAATGTTATGGAGGTTCACATGAACTAATTAGCCAAAAAAGATTACTGCATTGCATACAGCAAGGAATTGACAGCATGACGTCACAAACTGGAAAAATTGTGTTCTTGCCTCTGTAATGTCGTCTGCAGATGCATAGCAAGTGAACTCTGCAGGCATATGATTGCATGATAGTGTAAATATTTCCAGCAGTACTTATAACTGCCTTAATTTCTTTTTATTTAAGTAAACGAAAAATGGGTATGGCTGTCATCTCAGAAAGTCGCAATAAGTATTTTGTTGTTGCTCTCCCAGTTTTGTTCAATAGTTATATGCTTAAAGTCTCATGTTCTTTTACCATCATGTTAGGTGGTATCTGGCATACGTGTATGCTGTTTTAAACATTACATGTGTTAGTTGCCTCATGCAGGAACTGCTGCTGCAGCACTCACCACTGCACATTGTTGCCTTGCATACCATGTGCATGCTTACCAGAGCATGCTGGTCTCCTCCTCTCCTAACTGAAAGCTTTTGAATAGGGTTCTTACTTATACAGATTATCTGTCTAACTAAATGCTACTCCAAAATTGCAAGTTTTTGTCCAAAATTACGTCTATTTTTTTTATTTGCTTCCACACGTTTAGTTTTTCTACTTTTATGACAGAAACAATCAAGGTTGTAATTAAACTTGAACCAAGTTTAAATTGCTTTAAATATTTTATTACTGCGCCTATTCAAATTGATCGCCAGTGGTCAACGCTTTCGATCATTGAATTTGACATGTTGAACTTGTTTCTCGTGCACCCGGCACTTTCTAGTAGTTAGCCCAGTCACTCAACTTTCAGAATCAATTTGAATTGGCCTGTTTTGGCTATATAGGTATTTTTAACAGACATGCGAGCAAATAAATGTGCGTGCCACCCATGGTTATGCTACGGTAACATCGAATTTCTGTAATCACAAGAACTTTTGCAAGTCAAATATCAAATCAAGGTGTCAGCTTCGCAATCTGACAGTGTTGAGCAGTAATAATTGCCAGAAAAAATTAGCTAATTAAAAAAGATTAGAATTGCCAGCTCTTCAATAGAGTGCTGTTGCTATGAGTTTGGGAAAACCTATTTACAAAGAAATATTTCTGAAGGTTCGCCACATATATATGAAATGTAGAGGTGGCCTTCATAGCCGGTTTCCAGTAGCTTTGGTTTCGCTTGTATCGTTATATCAGACACAGGGCCGCATCTAGTGTCACTAATCGCTCCTATGGCGCTGTCGTCAAGTGTGCATGGGTGTGCACCTGCGCTGTAAGAAAGCATGCTCCGCTCGAAACTATTTTGCAACTGCACCTGAAGTGAGGGAGCGTAGAGTTTGAGGATGACAGCACCTCAGCTTCAAGTTTTATGGCGATGTTTTGTGCAGCCTGAGACATCCGGAGCTATTCATAGGTTTGTTTTGTTCATCATCTCAGGTTGTCTCCTCCACCGCAAGTGCGTAGCTGCTGACCCTTGTGCACAATCTTATAGCTACTCTAGTTACTTGCAAAATCCACATGTTGCTGGGGCCCAATGTGCCGGCGCCAGCTGCAGAGCTTCTCCTCGTGACAGAAATGCTTCCAGAGCACGTCTTGGCTCTGACTACAGAGCAGGGCGAAACGTTGTGGAACTGCGCGCCATATTGTTTTTTATTTGTGAACACGATGGGCAAAAATGCAAAGCAATATGCTTGGATGCATACATTGGAACGCCAACCTGAACAGTGAAATTTAGGTTCGAAGCGAATTCGAAGCAAATAGTGATTTTAGTCGAATAATTTCAAATCAAATTCGAATACTATATATATGACATATAAAGAAAAATGGCATATTTATCATGACCTAACTAACTTGCACAATATTTTTAAAAAATTGAAATAAGGCCTTTATGCAAATGCCTTTTTTTTTCGTTCAAAGGAAGTCGAAACAACTTTGAGTAGTAGAAGGACTTGACATTCGGTAGGATGCAAGTAATAACCTGTAAAATATGTAACATTTAGAAATGTATTGTAGTTAGAATATAAGCTGGCATAACAAGCTTTTAGGGTTAAAAAAAATGATGAATCGATTTGAGGCTAGTATGTTCACTTACTGGGGCCCTGCAATACTTTTTAAAGTAGCCACGAAATTAATTCACCAAAGAAGCTTATTGACTCACGAACTCACCGCCGCAAAAATATTTACTACACATCCAGTACGAGCAGAGTTGCAAAGATTTATCGCATGCTTCAATTGCATTTTCTCTTGTCTTGTCCCAACGAGAGGACTGGAAGCTAAGCAGGGAGGAATGGCATGGCAAAAAAAAAAAAAAACCATCACGCATGTCTTGTGACTTTGAGAATTTTTTCACACACTCATTTTTTTTTCTTCGAACACTTGGATTTTCAGTGTGATCGCGCACATACGCGTGGACAAGTCACGGCCTCCCGCAGTGGCCCCAGTAATGACCGAGTGTGCCATGTTAAAGTCTGCCAATGGCTGACACAATGGCTGTGACGAGTTATTTTTGAGCTTCATCTGTCATTTGTTGAGAGAAGAGAAAGCAATCTTTAGCTGACTTGGAATTTACTGTGGATTCCAGGCCATGTGCTGCGCTATAATATTTGGCTTACGTGCTTTCGTTAGCTTCGACTACCGATTGGCAGTGTTTTCTAACCAGGTTCAAAAAGTGTTGCAGGGCCCCTTTAAATTTGTAGTGGGGCTTCACGGGCAGACCGGATTTTTCTTGGGAAGGTGCTTTCATGGCTTAGCACTCCTACACTGCAGTGAACCTACTTTTACATGTGTAGTAATACACATTTTTTTTGTTTGTCATGAATACTTTGAAATTTTCAAGATTTTCAATTCGATTTGAAGCAAATTTGAATACTGTACTATTCATTCGATTATTCGAAGCATTGGAAGATTTGCACAAGCCTAATATATAGTGTTTTTTATAGCACTGTTTACCAGCTAGCAAGCAAAAATTACACACTTTTCACATTGTTATTCATTCCAAATTATTCCTGTTGCCCCTACAATGTATAATTTTTGAAAAGAGCATTTGATTGAGCAAAATTTGGTATGCTGCAATGTATGCTGGAGTACTTTTCAAACTGGCAAAAGCCATCTTCCCAAAACATATGAAAAATAACCATTTTCGCTCAGTAACGAAAGAGGTGGCTATTACAAACTGAAAGGAGCTCATTGCCAAGAGTCCTCTAGAAATTGTTACCTGGCTGCTCGCCATAACAATTTATCGTTCACCAATGTCACATGCTCAAAATAACCATGATTATGAAGCTCTAAGGATGGAAGAACTCATTTTAAAAGCACATCTTTGCCACATAGATGAGCTTTGATTTCTTCATTTGAAAAGTGTTTTTCTCTTGATAAAATTCTGGGCAACGCCTTGAGTTCTGACATCATGTTTTTGGTACCTGTGATGGCGAAATTTGAATGAAATTTGTTCCACATATTTCTCAACATGTGAAGAGTGCAATTATCAAGTTTATAACCTGATATCAGCTATATAATTTTTATGAACAGAAAGTAAGCAATTTGTATAGGCTGAAAATGTGAAGACTTCTCACATTACAAGTTTTCTTGTTCATTAAAACATCTTATACACACTTTCTCTTAGTTACTTGCATTCTACAGTTAATGTAAAGCAATATAAGCCATGATTTGTTAATATCTATAAAAGTTTACTGGCAGAAAAAGTGTTTTAAAGATAGCTACATGGTAAGCATTTACACGCCACAAAACAATTACTATTGTACTTACTATGAAACGAATAGCATATTTCAAGTCAGCATAAAAAGCGCAACAGAAACAGCAAAAATTTTATTTCCCTAGGCTACAGATTGAAGAAATTTTTTTTTTCCGAATAGCATCTCTACTTGAGCTGTTTTCTATTTGGGTGCTTCAATTCTGTGAATCTTTCTGAGTAAATGAAACTCTTGTTAATGGCATGTTTTCTCAGTCCCTTCATGTCCTATTTAACAAGATACTACTGTAGTAATTTTACTGTAACTTAAAAAATGTTTTCCCAGTCCCTTCATGTCCTATTTAACAAGATACTACTGTAGTAATTCTACTGTAACTTAAAAAAATAGTGAAAAAATCTACCTCCCTAGAGCTTGACTGCTAGCGCATATACACCAGAACACAGCAAGCTCAGTGCGTGCTGCCATATTGAAAAGCACGTTGCGTCATATGTTGCAAATGCGGCGAAGCAACACCCTGCACTGCCACGAGAGCAGATGCTCCGCAAATCCAGCGCAACCCGAGTCCAGATGTAAGCATGTTTTGCGCTCTTCCTTTTCTGGAATTTTGTGCTGATCTCGTGTGAAACGTCGTGGAAACCTTCCTCGACAGTCCGGAATGTCTACAGCACTTGCATTGCAGACTGCAGAAGCAGCTTTATCAGGTACATACTATAGCGATTGAAAGAAACGTAAACAGTGGAAAGCGTTCCTTTTGACTCAGTCGAACTGCGGCGTGCCTTGGCTGTGGCAAGGCAGAATTGGTGCTGCAAGCCGGTGTCAACGTAGCACGAAAATCTGGCTCTAATTTGGGCTCCTGCATTGCATGTGTTCATCATTTGCCAGTCATGCCAAGTACTCAGAACACACATGCGGTGCGAAAGTGCCAGCCAGAATAAGATTTTAAAATGCTATGGTGACGCCGGCTGAAAGCACTGATTTTCCTAGTGACAGTCAAGGCATGATGCAGTTCGACTGAGTCGAAAGCCATGCTTTCCATGCCTGTTCGAGTGTCTTTGCATCGCAATACAGTAGAATCTCGATCATACGGTTACGGTTGATGTGAATTTTCTGATGATACAAATTTTAAGGTTGTTTTGGACGGTCTACGTTATATAAAATAGGCCCTCATTCGGTCATATGCGGACAGTTTCCCCA